CCATATGCTAAATAAATAAATAAATGTGATTGGTTCAATTACCACACACTTTAATGACATACTGTCCCCCCCCCATCTCATTAAACATTTATTTTTAAATATGTCTCACAGGGTGGGAACAGAGATAAGGAATTGTTTTCACCTTGTTAGTTTGGCATTTATTGATGAGTTTAAAAGATGTTAAAGTTGTTTGACCGAAAATGTTGGAGACATTCTCAATATAAAATGCAGTAACTAAATATGTTTCATTGGGTCTTGTTTTAGACTAATCCGCATTGGTGTGACTTTTGGTCCCTTGTGTGGATACTTCCAGACTGCCTCAGTCATTCCAATAAAGGTAGAACTGACCTGAAAAGCCCTAAGAATAAAGCCATTGATTTTCACATTATTAAGAAGCTCACCCACAGAATATCTCATGGGAATATCTCATGACAGAATATCTGTCATGCCTGAAAACTATGTGGAAGTCTAAAACCAACTTTTTGTGCCTTTTTAAAAAGAAATAGGAGTAGTGGTCCTATTTAGATGAAAACTTATTTTTCCAGAAACAGATTTTGGCATGTTTGTCAAGTGACCATTGAAGCCTTTTATCATATCTAAAACAACAAACTATGGAGAGGTCTATATTTTATGTATATCAATTTGTCTATAGCACTAATAGATGTTGTAGAACATTTAGTAGGATAATATTACAATAAAATTACAATAAAATGTTTTCTAAATAATTTGAGCCTATGATTTATAGTGTTACATGTGTTTTTACTTTTTCATAAATTATGATTGGGCAATGTCATACTCAGTAGCAATCTAGTTAGGTGTGGGATGGATTACACAATATAATATATAACTGGCTCGACAATCATAGTCAATAGGTCTACATCAAATTCTATATTTGATATAGAATATGAAGTGACAGACCATCAGGTTCCCTTCCCGGTCTTAGCACACTATTTTCATTAATGATTTAGACTTAGAGAATGCTTATTTAATCTTGTGATGGTGAAAAATTGTGTTTATTTCTAGAAGACAGAAAAAAAATTCAGAACAATCTTGATTCTTTGCAGAAATGAACAGCAAAGAAAAGAATTAAAATTAACAGAGATAAATGTGGGGTTCTTTATTATCAAATACCCAGGTACAGGATGAGGGATACCCAGCTTGGTAATAGTACTTGCAATACTTGTACTTGTAGTGTTAGTAGTCAGATGCAAACTGAATTTGAACCAAAAATATAATGTGAAGGTAATTTTAAGCTATATCAATAGCAGGGGTGTCAAATTCATGTCATCATGGCAGCATCACATGATGATTGGGACTTTTTCTCCTTTGCTAAACTGGGTGTGGGTATGGCCAGCATGTGACACATCCGGCCCATAGGCTGGGAGTTTGACAGCCCTGCAGTATAATTTCTAAATATGCAATACTATTTCATCAGATTACACTTTGAATATTGAAACTAGACCTGGACAAAACTCTGTAAGAAGGATTCATAGAAAAGCAACAAATATTAGAGCTATAGAAAATTAAGTTGTATGAAGAAGGACTAAAAGTAGCTTAGTATGTTTAGTTTTGACAATAGACAGGTGAGGGGGATACAATAGCACTCTCCAAATAGCTGAAAGAATGTCATATAGAAAAAATATTAAGATCTGTTGTTGTTTTTCTTGAGCGCAAGGCACAAAATATCAGAGTTAAACTACAAGAAAACTGATTCTTACTGAATGTTGAAAATAAAAATTCCTGACTGAAAGAGACCTGGGATAGCAGAACAAATCACCCAAAGAGGTGTTGGATTCCCTTCATTTGAGGTGTTCGGGAAGTGAGATAGCTGCTTTGGATGCTTTAATTCGAGTATCTCCACTAAACAGAGGGTCTGTGGCAATAAAATACTCACTTAAATATAGAGAGAAGTATATTGTGTAAAGCTGAAGAAGCCAGTCCTCCTATTAGCCCAGTATCAGGATTAAAAGTTAAGTAAGTAAGTAAGTAAGTAAGTAAGTAAGTAAGTAAGTAAGTAA